CCCCAAAAGCCCTCCCCCCCCCCCTTTCCATCCTTTTTCCCGAAACTCACCAAGACTCTTGTCATCTTCTAAGTGACTCCCCATCTCCCATATTTACATTTTCTCCCATTCCTTCAGTTTCTGCCGCGTCACCCGCGACGAGAAATTCGCTCAGCTGTCACGTGGATTACCGAAGGGGAACTGTCACTTTGACATGTGACAGACTTATGAATTCCTCATCTTTTCCCGTTATTCTTTCCTGCTCTCTGACGTATCCCATGTACGAAGAACAAGGTGGAGGCCGACTTAGGAGAAGCGTGCGTGTACACACAGCGTGGACAATTAATAATTCATGAATTGGCCCTGGCGCTAACGCGGCTTGATCGTGACTTCGTTATTTCTCCTATTACAATGTAATCACCCTGTCTATGCCTCGGGGATGTATATCCAGTGTGTATACACTGAACCCTCGGCCCGGTAAGAATCTAAAGGGCTGCTGCGGCGGTAGCGTGCGTGCCACTGGTTACGTACGCTATACGCAACTGCTATCACCTATAGGGTGAACCAGGGTGCGGTTGTTCGATTCACAGTTGCCTGCACGTGAAATCTCATTCGAACGAGTCGCGATTAGCTATTCCGATTTTGAGTGATAAGTCCCTCCCTTACCCCGAAACCCCTTCCTAACCCTGCATACCGGTCTGATGATGGAGTGCCTTTGTACTACTATCCAGCCTGATGTATACGTTCCGTACAGCATATATATATGTCATGCCTTCTAATGACTATGTAATACGCCGAGACCGAGACTTAGGTTCTCCATGATAGACCATAAACACGACTCAGGGACGGTTTACGTGGAGAAAATATGATCCAATTGTCGAAATTGGATTTATTAGACTGCATAATAATTTTTCTTAATTTTATCAACAGGTGCCCTCCAGATTACTGACTCCGAGGTTGAGGATCAAGGGAAGTACGAGTGCGTGGCGAACAACTCCGTCGGTACGGAATACTCGAAGTTTACGTCGCTCTATGTCAAAAGTAAGTACGAGTACTAGATAGATGATAATTGGAATAATTATCTGCTAGGGGTCAGAGTGCAGTATATATGCTACGTTGATCTATCAAGATGTAAAACTACTAAAGGGAAAATAACTCTTTGTGGGGATGCCGGCTGATCGGTGTTTGACAATAGTCGCCCATTGCATCATTGACGATTACTATTTGCCTAACAAAAAGATTATGATACAGGAGGATACGTGTTACGTCATTTGCGCACCTTCGAATTCGTAGAGAGCGTGTAAAATATTTAATCAACGAATCCAGAAACAATTTTAAATGCGAATGTAGTGGATTTTGTAATGCACACGATTGCGTAAAATTCTCAATGACGCGTCGGTACGTCAGATTCTCGTAGTAGAAATTACACGAGAATTCCTAGTCTATTTATCTTCCGTGAATGACTTAGCCGCAGCGTTTAGGTAAAGTCTAAGGACACACTTAAACTTTCCAAGATAGTTTTAATGTGATTAGACTGTAATTAAACACGGCATCCCTCGAGTCGTGGGAAAGGAACGAAGGGAGAAAGTAAATGTATAAGTAAGTGATAAGGGGCGATGGAAGCAAAGGATCGGCGTACGCATAGAAGCAAAGGAAGGAAAGAAAGTGGGATGAAATTTCGAATAGAAAGTTTGCCCATAGACCGGAACTCGTACACCGGAAGTTTATCCCAGAGACTTACCAGAAAAAGCCCACCGCTAATGCCTCCGTCGCCATTGTATTCTGACGTCGATTATTCCGATCCAGTTCGACGCGTCACGCCACAATTCTCCATCCCTCCGCCACCCGTCAGCGAAGTCATGCTCGGCGCATCCTTGAACCTGACCTGCGTCGCCGTCGGGGCGCCCATGCCTTTCGTGAAGTGGCGCAAGGAGCCAGCAACGGACTTGACGCCGGACGAAAAAATACCTATTGGCAAGAACGTTCTGGTACTGACGGATATCCAGGAGTCGTCGAACTACACCTGCATAGCTGCCAGCGACCTGGGAATCATAGAAGCCATGACCATGGTCAAAGTTCAATGTGGGTAAACCTTTAGCTCTCAAAGTCGAACCGGGCTCCGACTCTCTTCTATTTGGAATCATTCTGTTACAGCATTACCTGATCCACCGGCCAATGTCCAGGTGTCAGACATCACAGCCACCTCGGTCAAGCTCACCTGGTCCTACAAGGGCCCTGATCAGCTTCAGTACTACGTGATCCAACACAAGCCCAAGCAAGCTGTTCACCAGGCGTATTTCGAGATATCTGGGATCACGACCATGTACTATCACGTGCGAGGTCTCAGTCCCTACACGGAATACGAGCTCTTCGTCATCGCCGTTAACAGTATCGGCAGAGGTCCCCCGAGCGCCCCGGTCACCGTCACCACCGGCGAGACCAGTCAGTATTTCATTCGGATCATTCAGCCTCGTTGTTCGTCTCATGCACCACTCGATCATCATTAGTATCATTACTTACCGGTATCACACTGTATGCACCATCTTTTTTGTTCTTTCTCCACGGCCGTGACTCTTGCGCTCATTTTCATGCCTTGACAACCTCAGCCGAGTCCACAGTCATTTCCGTCATTCATCCGGCATCGCGCTGTTGGGACTGTCGATGACCATGAACTTGGCGATGCTCAAGTTATTTGAATTTTAGTTCTTCGGTGATTAATAGGATACCGGAAGTACCTAGTATGCGCGTGCGAGTGTGTGGGCGTGTGTGCGTGCGTGGACTATTTTTTTCCCTCTTTTTTTTTCTCCCTTTTGGCACCTAGCTAGTGTTTTTCGCACAGCGCTAGAGAGACGAGAATTTTTGTCGACGTAATTTTTGAGGGAGAAATCTATACTTTTTTTCCATGCCGTCGATGCGCGGACACTTTGACTCATGTAAGTGACCAAGACATGTTTTTTAATAAACCCCGACCGTAACTCATTTCCATTCCATTGATTCTGACCGCCGACAGATGGCAGCTGAATTTCCACGATTTTCAATCCTTGCATACTCAATTTCCGTCGTCCTTGTGTCACCCAATATAGGATCCAAAAAAAAAAATTCAAATGTCTCCAATCCACTCTCTGTCTCCGTCCCTCTTCTCTGTGTTGCACCTTGTCGAAATTTTTGTCTGAGATAAATCTTTTTACTGGAATTTTTTGAAATCGAAAATAAGACGTGTTAACTTTTTATTTCTCTTTTTTTTTTTTTTTGACATTCACACGTAATCTTATTCCATTCTATTTCCTCATTGTTTCTCGACTGTCACTCTTGCTATCCGCTGATACTTCTAAATGCTCGGCCATAGTAATTTTAAAAACAAAGAATAATCGTGTGTCTTTTCCTATGCCCCTTTTATAGCGGAATCTACAAATGGAGGTTCCAGTGAGTCCAATCACGTATTAAGAGTGTTCAGTAGACTTTGACTTTTTTCATATATATAGATATACATGCATGTATAGATATATCCAGTTACATTTTGGTTATCTTGTCAATTGGTATTTATCCCAAACGTTGGCACAACAAGTATGACAGCTGTCAAATCTGACTGGTGTGTTTGAACTGTATGTCCCAAGATGTGCTCCTGTGGAATATATTTTTTAAATATACAGTATCGTGCACTTAACCTCACATTACACAAACGTATTAAAAAGCACGTTTCCTGATGAAACAATCACGTTTCTGTAGTCAAAAATTTTATTTGGTAACCCACAATTAATGAGACAGTATTTGCTTCCTACTTTGCCTTTCTTTCTTATTTCTCTTGCCTTATCAGGTAAGTCCAGGTTATTGATCTCCGTCTCGCATACTGTACTTTTGCTCTTATTTTCTACTTTGGCACATAGTTTTCAGTTTTTAGTGTACACAGTTTTCACCGTTTGAATTTCTGATCCGGCATCCTTACAATTTTTAAAGATGATATGCATCTCGTTTTAGAACCTGGTTCGTCACCGAGAAGGGTTCAGGTGCGACCCCTGAGTTCCAGCACCATGGTCATTCAGTGGGACGAGCCTCAAACGCCAAATGGTCAAGTAACCGTAAGTATAAGTTATGATTGGAATATAATTGAGCAGGTTGACTTGCCGAATTAGAGATTAGCCCCGGTGCAACGTCATCGTTTGTCTCTTCTGTCCAGGGTTACAAGGTCTATTATACGACGGATCCGGATCAACCGATGGCGTCCTGGCTTTCTCAGATGGTCGACAATAATCAGCTGACAACAATATCCGACCTGACGCCTTATCAGATGTATACGGTCCGAGTGCAGGCTCTGACGAGTGTAGGCCCCGGGCCAGTAAGTCCCCCCGTGCAAATAAAGACCCAGCAAGGGGTGCCAAGTCAGCCGGAACAGCTGATGGCTGTCGATATCGGGGAGACCAAGGTGACGCTCCAATGGAGCAAACCAGCTCTCAGTGCTGAGAATATTCTCAGCTACGAGCTATATTGGAACGACACCTACGCGAAGGTAACGACGGATCCGGATCGTCACCGGAAGCTGCTAGACGAGTGTTCCCAATTTGCGAGTCATTATTTTCAGGAGAAGCATCATCGAAGAATCGGCGTCACGGAGAACTACACGCTGACAGGTCTCTACCCGAACACCCTGTACTACGTCTGGCTGGCGGCTAGGAGTCAAAGGGGTGAAGGCGCCACCACAACGCCGTATCCGGTTCGCACGAAGCAGTACGGTAAGCAATAAAGGATGGGTGGGGCACACAGCAGCAAGGAGTACCAACTTAAAGGGAAGGATGAAATAAAAAAAAAACGAAGCAAAATTATAAACAAGGAGACAAAGGAAATGAAAAAGAAATTCAAAAAAAGCCACAGGACTCAATCGTGAAAAGTCGCGATCTTTCAGGATCGTTTAGAATTTTTTCTCCATAGGGAAGGTATAACGATCCTGAAGATCGCGACCCGATCCCGACCCGGGCACAGCAGGTAGGAGTGGTAACCAAGTAGCGCTAGACGCTCCCCGCAAGTAGCGTAAGCTAATACTCGGAGTATTGTTGAATATTCGAGTAAAAAGAAAAAAGAAATGTGGAGAGGGGGAGATGGAGGGAGAGTGAGAGAGGCCGACGAGGGGAATCGAGAGAGAAATTGCATCATCGCGTATGACAGAAATGACATGCATCTATATGCGACCACGTGTAGACCCCCAACAGCCTACACCTGGTCCAGCTAGATGTAAATCGGCTCGCCGCGTGGTCTTGATTCGTCCCTGAGGTCGCTCAGGGGTTCCCCAGGGGATCCCATCCTCAGGGACGACTCACGACACCCGTTAGATTTCCTAACCAAGTGTGGGAGAGTGAGAATGACTGCATGCGTTGCAAAGAGAAACGTTTTTGGATGCCACTTTATATATATATACATATATATATACGTACATACCATATATACATATAAATTGCACTGACGCACTGCATCGATATATGTGTGCATTTTGGGCACCTCTTTTTTACATTCTCAATAACCATACATATATATATGATATGATTTAGCTCCGTTATTACGTTTAACCACGTTCTTTCGTTGTGCATATATACTATATGCTATATAATACACATATACTATATAGATATTCAAGATTCATACGTACGTACTTGCGTACGACTTTTATGGTTTTTGGAGTCGCGAGAGGATCCTCGTACTCTCTTACTATAAACTTAATATGTTCCATTTTCATTCTGACAATTCAAGATTATCCAAGATGGCGCTCAAGAGCCATACTCTAATATCAAAAGCATGTTTTCGACTGTTCAAGGATCATTCGAGCGCATTCCTCAAGTGTCTCTATAAATTACTTGCACTGATAACCAATCCTTTACTTTGCTCTTTTACCTTGTTATCTTTTTCATTTGTTCTTTCCCTTTTTTTATTTATTTATTCCATATGCCAGCCACTCTCTGCTCGAGCTACTCTTTCGCATCACCTTCCACGCTTCTCTCTCCTTTTTGGAACTTGAAGTTGGCCACGGGATAAACTGAAAGCGACACGTTGAAAGACTTCCTTTTGAAAGACTATCGATCCGAACCAACTTCAGGCTGGACTGGAGAGCCTTGGGAAACGTAAGGCAGGGAAGATGGTGCTCTGGCCAGCCAAAGGAGCAGAGTGCGTCTGGCATGTAGATGCATACGTCCTTTAAAGTGAACCTCACCGGAGTCTCTCATTCCTATTCTCAAAAGTTTTCTCTATAAATTCTCTTCCATCCTCTTCTTCGTTTCGTTTCTCCCTACAACTGAGTGTTATACAGTCCCCGGGGCTCCGCCTCGCAATGTAACCGGAAAAGCGACCGGGCCTACCACCATTTTGGTCTCTTGGGAGCCCCCGCCAGCCGATCGTAGCAACGGACGAATCGCTTACTACAAGCTGCAAGTCGTCGAGAGCGGCCGCTCCGATTCGGAAGCCACGGTTATCAAGCTGAACGACACGCAATTTGTGTTGGACGAACTCAAAAAGTGGACCGAGTATCGGATCTGGGTTCTGGCTGGGACCAGCGTAGGTGATGGGCCTCCCTGTTATCCTATCATTGTCAGAACTCACGAAGATGGTATGTATCATTGACCTGACGAATTATTCTTTGTCACTCGGTTTGCGTCCGCAAGGTATTCATATTCTCGTAGCAGGACCGTACACGTGTTAAATCGAACCCCGGAAACCCCACGGTGATCAGTCAAGAGTCAATGCCCGTCGATCAATCGATATCTATGGGTAATAGATTTTTATTGTTTCTACGTCCTTACTCAATTTTCATGAATTTCGAAACGGTTTATCCACCCTGGTACTGTCTCGCGGACTGAACGTTGCGGACGCGAATGTCGCGGAAGCGACGAAAGACAAATGTTTTTTTTTTTTAATTTATGGAAAGATATGTTTATTAAGAGGATTATGCGAGGGAGTTTAAGAAATTCCGATTCGTCAATGCGCGTCTACCACGTAAGGACGAACGGAGCCAAAAATATAAAAGCCCGCCAAAAATCTCTTCAAAATTTCGCGATTCGATAAGTGCGGGATGCCAAACATTTATTATTGCTGCCAGAGTACAGTTGTCAATGTTAATTATATTTTCCGATTTCAGATTCCGCTAACGTCTCTTCGACCTCTCCCACTCAAACGACCAACCACTTCCTGGTTTGCGAACTTTTTGTTTCACTCATTACGTCACAACAATTTCCTATCTCTATACGTACATTCGATATATTATATGAAAAGCTTCTGTTTGTTATTATCACACTGCTTTATGTTTGTTCTATACCTTATGTCATATACATGTCACACGTGGGTATAACGACCACGTGTTATATAGATTTGAGAAAGTGGGAGCGAGAGAGGGAGGAAGACCCGTTATTTTTATTTTTCTTATTCTCCAATTTTCAATGCAAGAGAGAAAAAAGATAAAGAAACAAAGAAAAGTGATGGAGCAAATGCCAAAGAAAATGCTCGCATCCGCGATTACGGAAATCCGCGCGAATTTTGAATTTTCAACGTGCGATTTTCTATGCATAATGTGGCACTTCCAATTGGCCGTCGGTACATTGACGACGTTGGCCGTGTTTTTTGGCTGGCGAGATTTTATATTTTTGGAATTTTTGCGTCGAACAATTTTTCTCTATTAACAACTCCCAAAAAAAAAAAAACCATTCCTACCAGCCCCTCCGCAAGATATATCCCGTCGCAACCAAATTTTCCCAAAAAAACGTCGTCGTATGAAATTCCCGAAATCACGAAATTCTCCTATGTCCTACAAATTTTTTTGCAGGTATACGCAGCCACGGATTTTTCGACGCTGATAATCATTTTTTGAGCTCAGCCTGTTAAACAAACTTTTTTCACCATACTTTTTTACAGGGCCGCAAAATCATTGTGTCACTCTCTCGTCTACTGTTATATGTACGTTTTCTCGCCTTGTTCCAACTCTCACGTTTTATCACGTTTTACCTTCTAATTATGATCATCGATTTTTCGCCTCTCGGATCCGTGTCATTTTTCTGGCCAATCCGAGGGACAGATTCTTTTCTTTTTCCTTTCTTTTTTGTTTTTCTCTAACGCTCTATAATGATGATAATTCACGCATCTGTTTTTTGTCTTCCCTCTTTTAAAGCATTTGCAGGAGGATTGTGAGCCAGGTTTCAAAACTGCTAGTACTTAAGATTACAATTAGCATTACCAAATATTACAATTATTACAGTTATTAAAATTACGATTACCGTTTCACATTAACTGCCTAATTATATGTTATTCTCACGATAATTCATCTTCTTTCTGGGTGGTTATACGTGATATATTCGGTAAAGTCGTCTTTCAACTCTTTCGTTCTGTTACTTTCCACACTTTTTTTCTCACTTTCTTTTTCACTCACTCTTCTATGCCACGTGTAATGATGAACCATAGAATTGGCTGCCACTCGCATAACAATGTCACTCCTGCTTTTACTTATTCCGCCTTAAATTATACCTCGACTCGCAATTACCTTATCACTATATATATATATATCATTATGGACATGCACGAAACAGTGGACTGTCACTATATATCCTTATGGACCAAAAGTGCAATTTCATAGCATTCAAAAATCAACAGACATTTCTCTCGTGGTCCCCTACGGAAATTGAACCAAAAAAAAAAAAAAAACTAGGAGAAAGTGAAAAAGGAAAAAAATGACGTAAAAGCAGGATGACCGTAAGGGCAGCCTACAGATTCATCTTAAACGCTTATCTTATCTAGCACCACACGCGAATGTATCTCACAAACAAATAATAACGCACTTGACTCTTTTTCAATATACATAAGTATATACATATATATATATATACCCCAGTATACGTATACCCTATACGGACTATATATATATTTATATATCTCTCTGATATAAGGCTCTTCTGTCCTTAGTTGAAATTTAGTTCTATTGTTTGCACATGTTAGAGCATGCCTTCATTTGTTTCAATGATTCCCTAAAATCCTTAAATTTCGCATACGAATAATCTCCCTCCTGCCTACACCCCAAAATTGACACGTCACACATGCCACTTGACACCTCGCAAGACAGCCAAAAAATACTCACCGCATTCCCGCATTCCTATACATTCCCACGATTCCGATCCTCCTCCCAATTCCGCGTTCCGCTGTCGCCGGAATCCGCCGAGTCTGTCTTTATTTTTTTCTTAAAAAAAAAATATATATAAAAATAATCAAAAGAAAATATCCAAAATTCCATTCCCACGAATTAAAAAAAAAATTCATTTCTTTCCATTAAATCCAATGAATGGCATGCCGATGCATGGGACTATTTATTTTGGAAAATTTCCATCCGCAATTCCACATTCCTTATCGACTGCACGCTATCATTTCGTCCCTCCGCATTCTCTTGATCGAATGAAATGCGATATGATAAACTCACGAATGACGATGATTTTGGGTCGAACGAAGAAATTTTGAATTAAATTAAAATCTCGATCAGGAGTCTCTTTCTTGACTTTTTTTTAATTTTTACCCCCCTGGCTCCACTCCCCACCTCTCCGGATGTCTACTTCACCTTTTTCCCCTCGAAACGCCGTCGGCCCTGTCAAACTGACAGCGGATGTCAACGGCCAAGCAGACTCGGCGGACGGGCGCGAAGCGCATAAGCCTTAAATAAAATAATAAGCACAGCCAAAAGCACCTTTGCCGTGTGTAAGCTCGCATTTGATCGGAAAGCACAAAGCAAATAATTATCACACGCGTCTAATTATATATATATAGAGGCACAATTTTTTATTGAGTGGTCATCACCGGCACCAACTGTCACACTGTTACTTGTCTCTATTGAATATAATATACATATATATATATCGCGTAGTTACATAACGTATATGCATACATATATTTGCACTTCTTATTCAAGATAATATATATCAATATATCTCTGTATATACGTGTACGCTTGTTTATCGTACACCCTGTATAATTGTTCGAGCACAGTGTACAAAGGAAAGAGCAAGACAGATGATTAAGATTTATTGTCACACTCACTAGTTTCACACGTCGTGTGTGCCCGAGCACTTTGACGCACTTAATAAGCACCAAAAAAAGCACTTAATCAGCACCAAAAGAGCACCCCACTTTCGAATGTTACTTTGCGAGTCGATAGACCGTTTTACGCGGCAAATTCGAACGTGCTTCGGAGGTCGTTTGAATTTTTCGAAAAAATCTTACGAAATTTCGACACTTACGGTTTGCCCGTTAAACAGTGTGAATGCGAGCGTGTGATTGCGATTTCGAAGGAATACCAAGCTCCTCCTGAAAGAGCGATTAGGGATCCTTTTCGTAACGAAAAATAGAAATTAAAAAAAAAAAGGGAAAATTCGGGACAAATTAAGAGGATGATGAAATTTGTCGAAATTTGACAAATTTGGATAACGCGAACAGAGATAACCAATTATTTCAATACATTTGAATACCAATACGCTGTTCAAGTATGAATTTTCGTAAATTCGTCGTGTATCAGAAAAAATAATTTAAAAATCGTAAATATCACATATGCCTACGTCACGAGCTTTAACTCAGAGATAAACGTGTGGTATAGTTAGAAAAAAACGTGATCCTGGCACAGGGTGGCACCCACCCCTCGTCCCCATCTGTATTTTTTTTTCAAAATACCTTTCTTTTTTTGAGTTGATTCAGTTTCCTTCAGGTAAACTGTTATTAGGATACGTTCGTCTACCTGGAATGTAACTACTGGCAATTACGATAATTTACCAATTTTAGTCGCTACCAATTTTTGCATGAACTTTCGAAACTTGTACGTTATGACATATACTTGTCTCTGTTATTTGAATACGTGAAGAATTTATCGGTAACGCCTATTTACTATATATATTCATTATCTATATCTATATATATTTATACCTGTCCACTATGTACTTAATCGTGAAAATATTTCTTTGAAACGGTAGTGATACCCACGTATGTATTTAATAGGAATGTAATGATCTTTTGAGTAACGTTCCCAATAATTTATATATTTACATTTTACGTTTAATTGCACTGTTTTACGTAACCCTTTTCATTGTCCAGCATAATTTCTCCAATAAAACAAAATTTTTTAAGACTCCGTCACTCGCGACTTGTCAAACTTAAGACTCGTCTCTTCTCGAGGATCTTAAAAGGAGTCTACGATTTTGCCGTCGCCATGGTAACCGTAAAAAATTCGGAGGATCGGTACACGTCCGAAAGGAGGATACAGGGATTTTGAATTTTTGAGAGTGAATGAGGCTGGATGAGAAAAAAATAAAAAAAAAAAGACATGATACACCTTTTTGACTAATTCGACAAAAAAAGAAAGTCTCTTCCTGGCGTTTTTTTCCACGCTGAATTTTTTTCCTCGACGACCGTACATACAATTTTGAATACCCTTAAACGCCAAACTCAAAACTAACCTTATATACATATATAATACTTATTGCTGTGATTTTCCTCAAGCTCCTTAACTAGCGTGTAGAGACCTATACTCACACCCGATTAGCCGATTTTTGATTTTTGTATTTTTCTTAAACTTTTGCCCCCTCCCCAGTACACATAAAAAAACACATGAGCCTGCCAGACGCAGACGCATCCGATCGCAATACGATTTACTATCACGAGTGTCCATTTAGCATTTTATATTTAATGTAGAAATGGCATCTCTCGTTTAGTCAAATCACTTTTCTTCAAGCTCCGCACCACCCTATCCATTTATCTATCATCATTAGATATCATTATCATTACGTCCTTCTGTAAGCATTAGGTATACATAGGTTTCCGTTCTCGATGTGCCGTGCCGCGGAGGAAGAAAAAAGAAATTAGCGTAGAAAAACGACCGTCATCCAACAACCAAATTTTGAATATAAAATCTGTATGGAAAAAAAAAAAAATTTCGTTTTTCTTTTTCTCAAAACTGTTTTCGTTTTCGTTGGCGCACCCTTTTTTTTTCTTTTCCTCCCGGTACGAGGCGGCCAAAGATTGCCGTGAATTTTGAATTTTTGAATTGATTTTCATATTTGGAGTAGTGATTGCGCATGCCAAAGATAATATTCTCACGTCTCACGTCTCCCGCCTCTCTGCGACGAAGCGCAAACTAACTTATACGAGGATTAAACAATTTCACGTGCAATCCAAACTAATTGCAATGTCGGCCATTGTTTTGAAAATAATACGTAATATCCGAGGAACGAATGGAATGCAGAGAATGTGATAAATGGTCGAGATCGAATGTTAAGAGTTCGAACGGTAATGTGAAATAAGTGTGACCGGAAGGGTAGATGCGGATGCAGAGGAACGAACGGAAGTTGACGAATGTCTCAGAAAGAATGTCGCCGAATGAAAACGTACGAATGCGTTGCGAATGCCTCGGTGAATGGACGAAGGATTTGAACGGGCCGGCTATAAATTTGACAGCGGCCAAACTAGATATTGCTGCCCATTGAAATGCCTTAAAATAAAGATATTCACTAATCTTTACTCATGTACGAGCGAAATTGACACGAATTTTTACGAATCTTTTTTGTTTTCCACTTTTTTGGCGACTTTCGGGGCGCAGCTGAGAAAAGTGAGTATTCTCCTTAGCGAGTCACGTGTTTGTGCCACACACGAGTTTTTAATACGAGTCCAAATTTTTTCTCGTTTTTTATATATACATATATATATATATATATATATCTGGTTTTTTTTTAAAATCCGTCGCCGATTGCCGCCCTATCAGCCGTATTTTCTAATCTTTTGCCTTCTTCTTTTTTTCCTTCAATTTGCTACGATCCTACAAGCAGCCAAGAGAGACGTCTCTCTTTTTTTAACCACGGGAACGTAAATTCTCGATGCTTTCGTCGTCACGTCTTTTTTTCCCCTAGCAATTAATTGCACGCATATTGTGTGCAGCTAGCGCGATTGTGTCTGTGCGTGTAGGGTAAAGAAATGAAGGGAATAAAAAAATAAGAAAGAAAAAAAATACAAAAATAAAAAAAAATAAGAAAAGCAGAGCAAGACAGGAAACGGAAACATAGAAATTGTAAAGAATTGTTCGAAATATGTATGTATATATTATATACATACCATATACATATATATATTTAATCCGAGTGAGACGGAGCCGTCTTATTCCAAGAGAGCCTCTTTGCCTTTTATTTTCTTTGGCACATTTTAACTCTATTATATTATTCTTGAACTTTTGATCGTAGTTGCTGCTATCTTTATTTTCGTGATGTATCCCAATAGACTATCCTTGGTTTCACGCTTATCTTTTTTAACCCTTATCTCGAGGCACACCTCTTTTACATTTTTTTAATGCGTGCATCACGAATATACTGGACGGTCCATAAATTTTTCAAAAAATTGATAACCATTGACTTCCGGTTTTACGATGGTTCTCCACGTGTGCATGGACCCTCCATTATTTGTCTCATTATCGTCCACCTACCCGCGTTACACGCGCGTTACGAAAACAAGACGCGAAGCAGTAAATAGAAATTGAAAAAAAAAAAAAAATTGCGTAATTGATGCAATTAAATAATAACCGGGAAATATAATTATTGGTATTCAAATGGAGGATGATATATCCGGAATGGATTTTATTTGTAAAAAGGGACGAAAATACGCGTCAAAGTATACGTATATACCTATATAGACTGTCAGAGTACAGGGTTACGTGTTTATGCTGTCAGTGTGTGTGGTTCTGTTTGGCTTACTTTATTTTTCCAATAATTTTCTACTTTTGACATACGCCATCTTACTTTCACTATTTTCCAAATTTCTCTTTTTTTTTCTCATTTTTATTTTCAGACACGCCTTTCAATTTCGACCGACACGTTGGACCTGCAATTCACGACGGAGACAAAAGTCATTCGATAATCAGGACGATGACGTTTGACGCATTTGATCGTTAATTCAATTAATTTTAAACGCATATGATTATTATTATTTTTTTTTAATATTTCCACTTTCAGTTTCCATACGTTATATCATGTTACTCATAATTCGATTGCGTTGTATGTGTGAGAGTGTCCGTAGAGCAGCTAACGTCGCGGCGCTTTAAGGACGTCGATTAATATGAAGTTGCGTTGCAGTGCCGGGCGATCCTCAGGACGTCAAAGCGACGGCGATCAATTCCACGGCGATTCACGTCGAGTGGAAACCGCCTCGCGCCAAAGATCAAAACGGCGTAATTCGCGGTTATCACATCCACGTCCAAGAAGTCCGAGAGGAAGTGAGTAATCTTCTCATATCCCATATATACAATATATGTATACGTATATACTAGATTCTTTATTATAATACCTTTATTCACAAACTTTAGGGAAAAGATCTGCTGAATGATCCAATTCGGCGCGACGTCCACGAAGATGGGGTACTGGAGCTCAATGTCACCGACCTCCAACCGGACACCAAATATTCCGTTCAGGTGGCTGCCCTTACTAGGAAGGGCGACGGGGATCGTTCGCAACCCGTACACGTTAAAACTCCTGGTGGGGTGCCAATCAGACCCCACGTCAACGTCAAGTGAGTGCAAAAGGATTTTTTGCCTTTTGTTTCTTCGCAGAGAGAGGAGGGAGGACCCTTTCCTTTCTTTTTCCATTTAACGAGGATTTCTTGTTTACCTTGTTTCTCCTTTGTTTTCAGGGTGATGGACCGAGATCCTATTGTCTTGGAGCTGGAATGGGACAAACCGACCCAAACGTACGGGGAGCTGCTGGGCTATAGAATCCGATATGGAATTAAAAATCAGACCCTGAAGGAGAAATTTATCTCAAACACCCAACAGAACACGTACAAAATAACTGATTTAGGCAAGTTCGCTAGGAGCTGAAATAAAATTTAATTTAACAAAAGTATATCGTACCGATGAAATATGTATAAGTGGTACAATTGGAACTTGTAAAAAATAGCCCCTTGTATTTTTTTATTGCAGAAGAACGTGGCGTGGACTACGAATTCCGCGTGGCTGGTCAAAACAAAATGGGTTTTGGTCAGGAGGCTGTTCGCTACTGGTTCAGTCCCGAGGGTGAACCGACTGGACCACCAACAAATTTGTCCTATCACTTCCAAACACCTGACACGGTCTGCTTTACCTGGGACAAGCCCTTGCGTAATCACAGAAACGGTCAAATAATCAGGTACGACGTCCAATTTCACAAGAAGAACGACCACTCGCCGATGATCGAGCGCAACACGACGAAGAACAGAGCCGTCTTCACGAATCTGGAAGAGAACACCGAGTACATGTTTCACGTGCGGGCGCACACGTCCAGGGGAACTGGACCCTTCTCAGAGAAGATCATGATAGTCACCGACATGGACATAGGACGTGCCCCGATATCGGTAAACGCGATAGCCACTTCTGAATCCAGCGTGGAGGTCTGGTGGGAGCCTGTTCCAAATCGCAATAAGATAGTCGGTTATCAGATATTTTACACGATGACTGCCGTGGAGGATCTTGACGAGTGGAAGCAAAAGACGGTCGGGCTGACGGAATCAGCTGACCTATTGAACCTTGAGAAGTATGCCCAGTACGCGGTGGCCGTGGCGGTCAGGTACAAAACGGGTCTTGGTCGTCTCAGTGTAAAGGTCACAGTCAAAGTTAAACCAGAAGAAGTTCCCCTGAACCTAAGAGCACCCGAGTCCTCCACGCACTCCATGAAGTTGTCCTGGAGTCCCCCAATCAAGTTCAATCCCATAAAGTATAAAGTGTCTTTCGACGCTGTGAAAGAGTTCGTTGACTCCCAGGGTATGACGCAGATTCAGGTGGTACCGCGAAAGGAGATTTTGCTGGACCCAGAGGAGACGTCGACGACCATCAATGAGCTGCAACCGTTCACCACGTACAACGTGAACGTCAGTGCGGTTCCCCCTGATGGACAGTATAAACCACCTGCTAAAATAGCTGTCACCACTCAGATGGCTGCTCCGAAACCGATGGTCAAGCCTGATTTCTATGGTGTTCTTAACGGTGCTGAAATACAAGTAATTCTGCCCCAAGCGTCAGAGGAATATGGTCCGATATCTCATTATTACCTCATCGTTGTACCTGAAGACAAGTCGACTGCCCACAAGCAACCTGACGAGCTGACCGAAGACATGATCGCTGGCAAAGGTACCAAACAAAAGACGGAGAACGCGCCTTACATTGCTGCGAAGTTCCCTCACAGGGACATTCCGTATACATTCCATTTAGGAAATGGAGACATTTACGAGGGTTATGAGAATAGGAAGCTGGAGAGAAACAAGAAATACCGGATCTTCGTGCGAGCTGTCGTTGATACTCCAAGAAAGGTAAGAGAATATTCAGATTGTCATAATCGTAGAACGATTTGCTGATTGAGACCTTCTGAACTGATTGGTATTTATTTTTTACAGCATCTCTACACCTCTTCCCCGTTCTCGGAGTACCTGGCTTTGGACATGAGAGAAGTGCCACCCGGTGAGCCTCCGCGTCGTCCCAATCCCAACACCCCGGTCGACGGAAATCCGGAGGTCTCCGTGAAGACCAGCGGACCAGAGCCAGGAATGGTTTGGGTAGTAGGTCCCATAATAGCAGCCTTGATGGTCAGCGTCTTCTTGGTACTTCTCTTTGTAATAAAGAAAAGACGACAACCGTGCAAAGCGCCAGACCAAGCAGCCGTGACGCGTCCACTAATGGCAGCGGACATAAGTTCGAATCACGCACCCTCAGATCCTGTAGAAATTCGCAGACTCAATTTTCAAACGCCTGGAATGATCTCGCACCCACCAATCCCGATCAGCGAACTGGGCAACCACATTGAGCGACTAAAGGCAAACGACAACTTGAAGTTCAGCCAGGAATACGAATCCATTGAACCGGGTCAACAGTTTACCTGGGACCATTCGAACATGGAAGTGAACATACCCAAGAATAGATACGCCAACGTGATTGCCTATGACCACTCCAGGGTCATCTTGCAAACCATCGACGGGATCCTGGGCTCAGATTATATTAACGCAAATTACTGTGACGGATACAGAAAACAAAATGCGTACGTCGCCACCCAGGGTCCTCTCCAGGAGACCTTCGCGGACTTCTGGCGAATGTGTTGGGAGTTGAGAAGCAGCACCATAGTGATGATGACCAAATTGGAAGAGAGAACTAGAATAAAGTGCGATCAGTATTGGCCGACGAGAGGAGCAGAGACTTACGGACAGATGACAGTGACGATAAGCGACGTCCAGGAATTGGCTACCTATTGCATAAGAACGTTCCAGGTGTGCAGAGCAGGTTACTCAGAGAGACGCGAGATCAAGCAACTTCAGTTCACAGCTTGGCCGGATCATGGTGTCCCGGAACATCCAGCGCCATTCCTTCAGTTCCTGCGCCGAGTCAAGTCCCTGAACGTACCGGATAGTGGTCCATTGGTTGTGCACTGTAGCGCAGGTGTCGGGAGAACCGGATGTTTCATAGTGATTGACTCCATGCTGGAAAGGATCAAGCACGAGAAGATGATCGACATTTACGGTCACGTGACCTGCCTCAGAGCTCAGCGCAATTACATGGTCCAGACCGAAGATCAATATATATTTATCCATGATGCCCTATTGGAAGCTGTGATCTGCGGCAACACCGAAGTGCCGGCGAGGAATCTCCACTCTCACATTCAAAAGCTCGTCCAGCCCGAGCTCGACAATATAACCGGCATGGAACTGGAGTTCAAGAAGCTGTCCAACATCAAGGCCGACTCGACGAGATTCATCTCAGCAAACCTGCCGTGCAACAAGCACAAAAATCGTCTCGTCCACATCCTTCCCTACGAGTGCACCAGAGTCTGCCTTCAGCCACAGCGCAATATAGAGGGATCTGATTACATAAATGCCAGTCTCATAGATGGATATCGTTATCGTGGGGCATATATAGCGACACAAGGTCCTCTCAACGACACCACGGATGACTTCTGGCGGATGCTGTGGGAGCACAATTCCACTATCGTGGTCATGCTGACGAAGCTCAAGGAAATGGGCAGAGAGAAGTGTCACCAATATTGGCCCTCGGATCGCTCAATACGGTACCAGTGCTTTGTGGTGGATCCCATAGCCGAGTACAACATGCCTCAGTACATCCTCAGAGAATTCAAAGTGACCGACGCTCGGGATGGCGCCAGTCGCACGGTCAGGCAGTTCCAGTTCACAGACTGGCCCGAGCAGGGCGTACCCAAATCAGGCGATGGGTTCATCGACTTCATAGGGCAGGTTCACAAGACTAAGGAGCAGTTTGGACAGGACGGACCCATCACGGTTCACTGCAGCGCTGGAGTCGGTCGAACCGGTGTCTTCATCACCCTCAGCATCGTCCTCGAACGCATGCAGTACGAGGGTGTTGTGGATATCTTCCAGACAGTCAGAATACTACGCACTCAACGTCCAGCCATGGTCCAGACCGAGGCTAGTATCCACTTCATACATAATATATATACCATTGACTTTTGCCTACTTACATCTTTCCTTCTCTGTCTTTAGGATCAGTATCAATTCTGCTACCGAGCAAGTCTCGAATATTTGGGCTCGTTCGACCATTACGCCAACTGACAAGCAGACTCACGGGAGCCGAGGGAAGCCGCCAGAGAACGTGGTGAACGACCTTCGAGGAATCGAGAGAATCCTGAGAGAGCAAGAGTGCGGCGTGTTTAGAGAACGATGCTAGAAATGTGCGTGAAAATATACGAACTCGAGTGAATCCGTATTCTCTAAGCGAAAATAAGAACTGGACACATGGACACTTAATAAGGATCCATTTGTAAATGGACATTGTGTAGCGAGACGCCATCTTGAGTATAATCTCAAGTGTCTTCTTGGTGAGAGTGACGAAGAACTACTAGAGAATGGGCCAAGTGTATCTCGTCGATGGCAAGTCGTCGTCGTCGTCACGGCACGCGCAATTCTTCCTAAGGAAATTTTCATTCTTATTGCGTTTGTAGAGAGTGATCGGTGTGCGCTATGAGAAAATCTTATGAACGTAGATGGCGCATCATTCGCAAAGCTATCTCGACTCTAATCAAAGTTAAGAGAGGTTGACTCTTTTCTGGATTTAAGCCCAGCATCCACTAATCTTGACTCCACGACATCTTGCTGTTGTCCCTGGCCAACCCTTTCCTCTCTCTCTCGTTGAATTCTCAATGAAATATCATGGGCTCGTTTGTAATTCGATAATCGATCCCGACCTAGAACATATCTAAGAGGCAAGTACGCACACGCGGATGCAACGTCCTCGAGGTCTGGTCAATTTACGTGACTTCCTGAGAGTCGAAAACCTTTTTGATGAACCTTTAATAGAGAATCGAAATCTCACCCACTATCGTATCTAGCTAGTTCAATTTTATCTAGACTAATCGATTGCTATATCAAAACGACCAGAATCTTTCTCTAGACGACGAAATCCTTGGGCCAGTTTTGAACCCTCTTTCGCGTCGTTCCTTAAACTAGGGCGAGAATATTCTTTAGGCGAATAGAAGAAAACAAATTTTGAGAAAAGTAGGGGAAAGACAGGCAAACTGTAAAGAGGGGCAAGAATTGAAAGGAAGTAGAATTTGAATAAAAAATAACTAGAAATTGGATTCGACGCTCCTGACACGCTCTGCAGAGTATTTGAACGAGGTACTATGCGTGTTGTACATTAGAGGAATGAATTTTGAAAATGCGTAACGCTATCAAGAGAAGCGACAGGAGAGAGAAAGCACTCCCGTGCGAACAAGAGAGATGAAAATTTCCGCTCACTGATAAGAAAATTGCCATACTGCCAAATCGACAATTATTAATGCCCTAGCCCATTACGCACGATAGGGATCTTCTCATTACCTACCTAGCGTAACTTTATCTAGCCACTTAAGCGACCGGTGTAAGCTGTAGAATTAAGGATGCCATAGGAAGACATGGATAAGTGAGGGAAGAATTAAAAAAAGGCGAGAAGGGTGAAGGAGTCAAAAAATAATAAAAGGGAAGCGGTGCCTATAGCTAAAAGAAAGTGCACTATGGTCTGCGGTGTACACCTGTATGAAATAATAGTTTAAATAGAGAAGCACTGTATGTTGGATTCACCTGAGGTTCTTACGGTGCCCTCATTGTCGTTACCCTCATTATCGTAATTTTAATAACGACGCGTGTACAAAGTTCCACTTGAGGCTTACGTACCTCGCGTGTTCCTCTACACTATTCACATTCCAAGACGTAACGACACAAATCCGGCAGCGATTCACTTTGAAAATTTAATCAATTTTCTAATGACCGCGTGTTACTCATCATTTTCATCATCGACGTCGAAATCGAGAATTATCTCCACTGTCAGTTATGTGTATGAAATATCATCCATGTAAAGCACCGATCTTCCACCACCAGAGATCCTTGTTACGCTTTTTCTTGTTGACAATTGACTCTCTCTCTAAATTCTTCTATTCTGTAAAGACAATAAGCGTGTCTTCATTTATAGCCTTGACTTGTTATCAAACTCTAGTTTATACGTAAGGCGAAGCAAAACGATATGTGAGAACAAATAGTTATAATTTAGATATATTATAAGGATTGAGAAAACATAGATAAGGGCATCTCGATCTCGATTTCGACGCCGACCTAGATGTACCTTTGCTGTACGACACTTCCATTCCGCTAGTATGTTAAAGTATATATTGTCATCTGTGTCACTGATGCCAATGTGGCTTTTCTTCCAAGCGAATACGATGGCACGGATTAGTGAGTTTACGTTTCTTCTTTTCTTTTTCTTTCCTTTTATACTCTTATACATTGTTCATGCGAAATCGCGATGCAGAAGCAACGAGGGCCCCGCGGAAATTCACGACTATGTGTACATAAATGCACCGTCTGTCATTAATAGCATTATATACATACATAACGAATAATATATACATATATATATATAATATATATATATGTTACTATAAATATTATTCTAAATAGACACAGAAAAAAGAAATTTAGGAAGAAAACACAAATGGAACAGACATTGGGAATCGAGATTGTATGGATATTTTCCAAGTTACGGAGATAATAAATATTTAATAAGGGAGGCTGGGCTTTGCCACTCACTGCTCCATCCAGATTCAATTCTGCGTTGTTAAAATGAGAGGAAGTTGGATGTGGAGAAAGAACCGGAACGGCAATCAGTGAATGGGCGAGTCACAAATGGTTATCCTATCGAAGCAGCACACCCCGATAAAAAGTTTACTTACGGCATATTTAGCTTGTTTAACGTTTTTTATACTTTGTAACGTCGTGTTTTTATATATTTTTACAAATCAACTTGCATGCTAATGTTTCTTAAGAATATTTAGTTTATAGAATTCATGGGAGGTTCGCGATCACTCAATTCATCAATGTATCGTGCGTTCGTTTCATCGAAGTTCTATGTCCGCCATTATTCGCGTTCGTATGTTCACGCGATCGCCGTCAAAGGCGCTGGCTTCGTCGATCATTTAATTTTAAGTCATCACTCGACGCTCGAACAATTTATTGATTGAACAATTTGTTCTTTTAACTGAAATCCCATCTGCGGTGATGGAAAGAGCAAGAACAAAGCGGCGACGATTAAAAAGAAATTGTAAGTAAATTAATGAAACAATACTGAATTTACCGCGTAAGCATATCGCTAGTTATGTGTTGATAGCGTTAATTGACGTCACCCACGGATCCAATGCATTTACGCAATTATAGTTGAAAGAAAAGTCCACGATGTATATTTATAGTATGGATTGTAAGCGTCCTTATTGCGTTCCTTTTTTTGTACCGCTACCACTGTCATTACCCACCGTCCCCAGCCTTATCACTACCGCCACAAACATCACCAACCATCCCCCCGTTGACACCTGAGAATTTTGCGTGTACGTTCTTGTATTTTAGCTGCGTGTCTGTCGTTAGTGGCTAACTTTCTTCTTTCGATGAAAATGGAAAAAAAAAAAAAAGTAAAATTAACCGGGAGCCAGAATGTATAGAAGAAATGTGTGGTTTGTTGTATTCTTCTTCGTGAAACCTTGCGGCTTTATAATAGGGGCATACGTTATAGTCGAGATAACATAAATAAAAGGACGCCAGAATAGGCTGTGCTCCGCGCAATATTAAATAGGAGCAGCTGGGGCACTGATGCAGCTAAATGCAGCTAACTCGTCTAAATAAATATGCGGACGCATGTTTTGGCATCGGTCAAGACATGAGACGGATAGAGTAAACTAAAAAAGAAACAGGACAGTGGTTCAAGAGAGTCAAATACTAAGTAACGTTGAGAGAGTGCGAAATTATTTTGTGATACTTTCTTGCCAGAAAGAATACAACAGGCTGAGGCGGCATATTAAATACGATGTTACTAATTAACGATTATACAAATTAAATATTGTGTAATAGGAGGAAGTCTGTTGACAAGGAGAAATACCATGTACATTATGTATTGCCTTGTGGCATCAATAAAATAGCATAACTAACATGTACATGCACAGAGATTATTAGTTATTACACCATTCAAATTTTCTTTTTATTACACTCTTTCATTCTTTTTTCCTCTTTCACATGTCATTCTTTACAAATATTATGTACAACGATTGAAACACAAATGTGGAAGGATCATGTGGGTTTAAAGTAACATCACATTGATTCACATAAAAAATTAAATTATATTTGTTGCCTGATTGGTGGGATTTGTGGTGGGAGGACTCTTCGTCATCATCGACGCCACCTGAAATCAAATATATATAGAAATTAATGAATTAAAGTAACATTTTTTTTTAAGATTCTGTCAACTTACGTTTTGTATTACTTGTTTTCGGAAAAAGTCGCTTGTGGCTGTCGATATATTCTGATTATTGCCCATCTTGCATTTGACATAGCCATAGAGATTGGCACCATTTAAAATGATGGCAATACAAACCAGAAGAAGCCACTTGAATTTTAATCCAAAAAGAGCGATAATAAAGAATACGGCCCATAACAATGGGCACAATATCAGTGCTAACCAAAAAATACGGGCTTCAGCTGCGTTTATGCGATTCTGTTGGGCACCCTGAAACACAGGGCACATAACAGCATACATTTAACAAAATATAATATTTTAATTTTTTCTTTTAGTAAGTAACTGAGCTTCTATACTGCTCTACACTGTGCACTATTAATGCCCTATTTACTGTTTTTTCATATAATTAAAAAGGATAAGTAGTAAATGCCAATAGAGAAAGTGTCAAGGACACAAAATGTGAAAGCTGGAAAACCTTGAAAGTGCTCAGGCAGGTTTTACTGGCCATGGGCTAGCAAGACTTATCAGATGGACACACCTCAACCAGACTCTCCTCTAATAAATTGTTAAATGCATTTCATGCAATGGTAATTTATAGAATAACAGATATAACTAAATTATAAAAGAAATAAACTAAACCTTTCTTGATTCAAAGACCCAATGGCTCTTGCCGTTATCATCTACATAGTTCCACCATCTTAGTCCAACCATCAATCTACCAGTGATGTTTTTTACTGTCCAAAAATCCATGGATAAAAGGAGTACTACAGTAACGAAGCTTGCTATAAAGCTATCTGAGAACCATCCACAGAGCATGTAAACAACGATTGCTGTCACTCGGAATACCAAATGAAACATTGTCACATATGGATGCCTGAAACAAAACCAATATATTCAATTAATAGCAAAATCTGTAAGAAAAGCTAACTCTAGGAGTTAAAAAATAAACTGAAATGATTGTAATTTCAATGTATATTAACATTTAAACATTACTTTAGCTTATCCCCACGTTGAACAGCTTCATCCTCCTCGCCAAACGCGATCGTATCATCATCCATCAGTAATGGAACCTGGAAATAAGAGGAAACATCATCCCGAAGGGACTGTATCTTGGCTCTCGCTAATATGCGATGCAACGTGCAAATGTCCTCAACCCAGTGAATAATATAAACGATTCAAGAAGTGTCAAATCTCTTGGACGAAGACAAAATAACATTTTATACACAAAAATAAGAAAAGGATGAAAAACGAAGAAATGTCCTCCGAATTGCTCCAAACACGTAGTTCACGTCACATGCATAACGCATCTGTCAGAGTACACATAACCACCACTGATTACCACATGAATATCAAAATACAAACTACCCCGCAGTTTCGTTAAAACTCTCTCTACCCCAAGACGTCACCCTAAGGAAGTTTCGATGATCAAACTGCTCTAAGTTCAACACCTGCACGCAGAAGACAATAATAAAGCAAGCAAGTAAATCGTAGTGGTACCTACCGAAGCAGACGCCATTTTCCACGTTGACAGGCGGCACGTCAGGAAAAAGCCGTCTGCTTTAAACCGATTGTGGCGCCAGATAATATTCACTTGCGAACGCAAGTGAAAACTCGTGAATACCGTAACATCCCTTGCACCAGGCCGAATCTAACAGCTCAGACAATCCCCTGCAGAAGCTTGCATCGTCTGGGAAAAAGAACGTCCCACCGTGTAAGGTAACTTTAAGGGTGGCCACGATCTCACCCTAAGCTTCTCCGACTAAACAAGACTCAACCTGAAAGCCCGAAAGCAGAGCATATCCGTCGAGTCCGCCGATAGTAAAACGAGGTCGGGGCCAATTCAACCATCCGTGTTCCTTTGGATGAAAAGGCTACTCTACGCTGGTAAAGGATCGTGAACGCGAACAGTGAACGGTTAGTAGTGAACATGAATCATGTGTGATTAGCAGTGAAGCAGAACACGAATCGCCACGCAGACAGCCAGTCGCTAACCTCGAGATGGATCAAATCTCGTAGGTGGTTTGACCAATTGACGGTTGGCAGTTGGCGCGGGTTACAGGAACACGGGGGCGAGTGTCGGCTAGTGCTGACAAAGTATTAGTCAGTGGTAGGTCGAGGTGCTGGAGGTGGCAGTGGAAGTGCTGTTGGTGGTGGTGGTGGTGGTGATCGTGGTGGTGGATGATGTTGATGTTGCTGGTTGCGATAAGCACGGGGGACTGAAGTGCACGACTACGTTATTCGTATCCCACTAAACGAAGCGAAACAGTTCCTGTCAGTTCACGTTCAGGGAGAGCACGAATTTTCGCTAAGAACACAGCTTACCAGGAAAAGATGCTCAAGGGATACTCTCCGGTCACGCAGGCGCTCCTCGGCACCCTCTTCACGTGGGGACTCACGGCTGCCGGAGCCGCCCTCGTAGTTGTCATTCGCGGGAAACAGGTGATTTTTTTCAATAATTCTATTGACGAATTAATTCTTCGTTTGGAAAGTTTCAAATGAACGCCCGACCTTTACTTTTCATGTGAGTCTATTGTAGTTTCGAGTACTGTCCCTTGAAAAAAATTAATTGTTCCTTGAACACACGTAAATTTCATTAAGAAACTGACATAATATAACGTGTTGCTTAAATCAAACTTAAATCAGTTTATACAATTCATTGACATGCACTTAAATTCGTGAGAAGCGAATAAAACTTACGCAATACAGCTTATAAATTTTTATTATCTTTACTCTCTAGTTTGCAGAATCTGAAAAGTTTTTGTCTTTTTATACAAACTTGTAGCCTAAAATAGTTTACATGTGGAATGGCATTCGATATTATATTTTACTTGGCAAACAAATTTGAGAAAAACAACTTTTGATAATCGAAGGATATCTGTTGTTTTACTGATTTCCAGAAACTGCATATTAACATATATTAATTTAAGATTGAATATAATGTATAGGATGAAACTTATTTACAGTATGCCTTTAGTCTCCTTGCGCATTGTTTATCTTAGTAAAATATATTCATGGTTTCAATTATTGCTTTCATTTTAATATATAGTATTCAGATTGAGTGTGCTGACCTTTTTACGTAAGAAATATTATCTTATACGTTACATTGGCCTTCCAAGTTTACTACCTTCTCATAACTTTCATTTTATTATGTATTAATATAATAGTGCACGGAGTGCACCATCGAACGTGCACATGTCGAACATTTTATGTACTATGAAAATAAATGCAGCTCACACCATTATGAATGAGATACTCAAAATATTCACTACATTTAAAAATGGATAATAATATTAAAATAACCAGGTGGATAGATCATGAATAACGGTAGATATATATTATCTTTTCCTTGTTTAATCTTGAAAATGATAGTATTGATAGGAAATAATTTTTTAATTAATCTCAAGTTATCTATACTTTGCAGCATCAACATAAATCATAACATAAATCAATTCAATTTTATATTTCAGAGAAAACTTCTTGATGCCAGTCTTGGATTTGCTGCAGGAGTGATGATAGCGGCCAGCTACTGGTCTCTCCTGGAGCCTGCGATAAAATTGGCAGCAGAAAGCAAAGTATACGGAGAAGAGGGCAAATATGCATTTATGCCAGTTGGCATTGGTTTTCTCGTGGGCGCAGCATTTGTATATGGGACCGACGTGTTGATATCTTCCCTTGGCATTCAGTCCCCCAATGTGCTTTTAGCTATGCAGTCAGTCGGTACGAAACAAAGACGAAAAATCCTTGCAAAATTAAAAAGTGACGAGGATCTAAAAGATAATAATATAATTAACAACGCACAAATTTATGGCGGCAATATATACTCAATTACAGAATCAACCACTATCGATGGTATTTCATCATATGTAAATTTTATTATATATTTTTCTTAAGATATGTAAAAGCAGCCCTCTTTGTAGACTTGGAACATGGGATCAGTTTACATACGTCATTGTACTCTCGTTCCTCTTTGCTTTGATGCCTTACGCATTAATTTCCATAGGCCCATCATCTAGGAATAAGCAGCACCAACAAAAAATTAAGCTTTCCCTTATTACTGAATTATCGAACAAAACCACATAAATTGAATAGCCCTTGCTTAATACTACTCTTCTGCCGCGTTCCATACTATTCATCTTTCCATAATAATTCAATTAAAGCGTTAAGCGTTACGAATTACTCAAGCTCCCTTATACTGTTTATTCCCAGATATTAAAATGCACGAAATTGTATTCGATACGCTTATTTTACATTATATGGCAATCGCTTGCCATTAACGAATGCAATCAGTAGATTGAGTCTAGTTTTTTGCCTATGGGAGAATCTTACCAAACCCAAGTAGTTACCGCATGCATTGTGATGTCCTTTTTAAATACGCGTGGAATCCAACACACAGATTCAGAACAACACCCCATAAGTTATCGTACGCCGTGTAAACCGGAAAACTAAAAGACCGTGTGATGTAAAATTAGTGCAGTGAAGTGATTAACACATATATATTGATAAGAGTGACCCATTTAAATGCGACCCTAAACCTTAAAACTGTACTTAATTTGTTACCGGTAAATCTAAATCAATGGAATCCTACGATAAACAGACAATAATTAAAAGTAAAATACAAACCATCACATAACATGTAAATCATACAAAAACCTACACACTTTACTCACATTGAATCTGCGTTAAGAATTCCACGTAGGAAACTGATCTTATTGTCCTCGTCTACGGATCCTGTATATCGATTATTGGGATACGAAAAACAACTGAAGTTTAGCATTTATCAGAAGAGCATCCTCGGCACGAGAAGCATGCAAAGTCGCTCAGATCAATCAGACTGGACTTCTGAGATCTTCTCGGCGTTCATCGTACCTAGCTGGGATTTGACGTCCCTTAAAATATTCGACAACGAAACTGGTATTCTCTAGATTTGATTTTTTCAGGCTTCTACGAACAGAACGCGAGAAGAAGACAAACTGGAAGCATCCAGAGGGACACAGAGAGTGAAGAGATTGGAACCATCTACGAGGATCCTAATAACGATATCAAAAACGAACAATGGCGGAGAATATTACTGCTGGTAGTCGCAATCACGGTATGCATAAAAAATATTAATGGCTAACAAAAGTACTTTTTAAAGTATGGTTAAAATTTCTTGGGTCATTCAGTCTATCAATCTGTGCTTAGGTTCACAACATTCCTGAAGGCCTGGCGGTTGGTGTCGGTTTCGGTGCAGCTGCAAACAGCTCGTCAGCTACTTTCGAAAGTGCGAGGTAAGAATACGAAGGGATAATCGTTATCATATTTCTTTTTTTTTTCCTGTTGTTAAAGCCATAAATAGTCAATTGACTCGGATCAAAGTTATCGACGCACAGTGAATGCCATTCTCACGTGTCCAGCGCATATGAAGAAGTAGTTTGAATTTGTTCAGATAAGCTAATCTTAAGTGTATCATAAGGACTTGCGCAAAATTTCTCGGTATCGCCTATCAATTACGCGTCAAGATCACTACTGGTATTGTGCCCATATTGTCAATGGTTCCGCGTAATAGGATTAATCAGAAATCAAATATGATGGACCTGAAGAAAACAGGAAAAAGATGTGAAGCGATACGAGCATAAGCTGTCATTTCGATTCGTCACTGAAAATGGTTATTTTTCAAAAGATACGAATTTACAATACCACTTGCAACTTGAATCTAACTCAATGTTATACGTATAATTAATAATACTATTTGATTGATGGAGATTCAGTCGTGCTAAGATAAGTCATATTTTATCATGAAATCGACCTAATCATAAATCAGTAATATATTAACCAATATCCAGACAACACATTATTAGACTGGATTCACAACTACTTGATGCTACACAGAGTTTCATACAAGTATTAGTTGATATAATCGATTTTCGGTTATCATTGGACCACGAGTCAAGATCAACATTATCGTGAGTTCGAATCATCGAAACAACCTAATCAGCGAGTCGATATCGAAGTCTGACTCGTTCATATCTCAGGCATAGCGAGTCCTTGATATTATTTTCCTTGACTCTATGTGGATCATCGAGTCATTAATCGAACGACTCTACAATATATATATATCTCGATTTGATTAAACGCATAAAGTCACGAGGTACAAGAGTTATTGTATTTTCGCCACGTAGCATAGTCTCTAATCTACCAGGTAAAATGAATTTTGAGTAGTTCGATCAAGTCCAATATTTATGTATTGACCATCATCGCGTAGCAAAACACTTATTAAAACTAATAATCGACGATAGAAAGAACGTCTGTTCTTGGATCCATGACTGATCTGGAATTACCATTTGAATTATCCACCGAGAGAGTTTGCGAGTTTCCCTATCTACCATAGGCGTCTCTGTCGTCCTCGCTCCTTTGAGAATGCGGCCAGCGGTTGCCGCAAACGTCCGTAAGATCGCGACAGTAGGGTAATCTAATTCCGCTGGTAAAGGGACTATCGAAGCTACTCTCGAGAATAAAGGTGAAAAGGAGTGCGCGAGGACGGAGGAGATTCATGGTAGGAGGTCCCCATGAATGAGTTCCATGGTGGTCGCAGGCGGCGGTCAGCCGGAGGCTAACTTTATTGGTGGTAGAACGGTGCTATACGTTCCTATGGGAGCTAGAAGCGTCTGAGGAAGAAGGTGGACGGTGGATCTCGGATCGTGGATATTGTGGATCGTACCGAGGGTACAGGGGGGAAACGTGAAAAGGAAGAAGAAGGCTTATGGCGGCCGGAGAAGGGGATGGTGGGGGGCACGTGTGGCCCTGGAATTCAACGAGCCCTAGGCGCCGCGCATTCCATCCCCCCTCTCCCCCTCCCATTCGTGCCTTGCGCGCATTACAGGCCTGTCTTCTCAAGTTGGTTTCTTTAGCGCACATTTAGTTTTATAAGCGCGGCCCTACCTAGTACGGGAGCCAGCAACTACGACTCCTACCTCTCGGCCATGCATACATACATACACCGATTCGTTCTAAATGGCCAGTTTTCTTCTCGCCCGAAAAAAGTCCGCTGCTCCTTGTCAATAAAGTTTTAGGGACATGGACTATAGGAGACAAGATAAAACACGAGAAGAATTTTGGCGGAGTTTTGTGAAACGTTGCCGCATATGCGACGCTGCCGTTATTTCGTTCCGAAGTGGAAAAATAAATTGCACCGTCGGTGCGGAGAGAAGGATGCGTAGCGTGGTGAATAAAGATGGCGACAGAGGGAGACACCCGGTAATACCTGAACGACGAAGTAGAGCGAAGGGCCACGGGAGGAATAGCCTGGGTGGTATTTATCATTGTGACAAGGAATGCGCCCAGCAAAGTACTCCTGCTGTCGTAGGAGCGAGTGTGTTGACACAAAAGTGTTGCCAGGTGTTGCAGTAACAGTCGGAGACTCGACGCGTCTGACAATCGGCGCGCAAGAAGAACTTACGGACCGAGGAAGGTATTAGCGAGGAGGAGAAACGAAGGTGGAAAGAAAATGAAGCGGGACGAGGAGGATATGGGTAAGGGCCGTAGTTAGCGCCCGGTCCGCCACGGCCCTCTGGCGCCACCGACGCCCAGACGCATATCTGATGGTGCGATTCCTGGAAGCGGCCCTTCTTTCTTCTCTGCTTTATTAGGGCGCACTCGAGGCGAAGCATTCACCTTCCCAATAACCTCGCGCGCCCGATTCTTCCCAGCAACGAAGCATTCTCCCGTTCAAGGATTTCGACACGACTACCGTACTCTTCGATTTTGACACTAAGAGCGCCCGAGTGTTAATTTATTTTTCTTTTTTTAAATCGATCATTCGCCTTCCTAGCAAACAGAACGATCACTCGGACAGTGCCAAAAATTGCATTGCATAAATTTTGAACCCGTGAACCAATAAGAGAGCCCAGTGACGGGAAGAGCAGAGAGAATGAAAATATTCGATGACAGTCAATCGAGCAGAGAATCCAGGCCCGCGAAGGTCCCTCTTCTTGGGCCCTTCCTCTCTACTCGATGGCTCGCTCAGGGCATGTTTGTTTTTTAATTTGATTCAGGAATGTGTGACAGCCTAGAAAGCTCCTTCCACACAGAGGCGCTCGGAGAGCGCGGCAGGCACAGGCGCATGCTGGGATGTGGGATCTCTTGCGGGCCTAATGTCACGAGAGGGGCCCTATAGCGCGTACCTGTGCGCCGTGCAGGAC